AGAGGGAATAAATAAAAAATACAATTAAAAAATTTCGCCAGAGGGGTGTACGGTCAACTTGCTGAACTCAGAACGCGTCGTTGTACGGAAGCGAAATATTCTGAAGAGAAATAAATAAATTTGAGTTTCGACAGAGGGCGTTGAGCCTCAGCAGAGGAACGCGACAGGAAGACCAAGCACTTTCTTGCAAAGGAAGCAATTTGCGATGAGGGCGTTTCTTCGGGAAGCTGGTGTAGGGCGGAGGCTCCATGGGCGTTGGTTCTGTAGTTTGGGAGGCTAGATCTAGGGTACAATTAAGATACTTAATTTACAAGATACTTTTTAATTAATTTCCTTGACTAAAATGCCCTCTAGAACCAAGTATTGTTTGCACGAAAACGGCCTGTAGTTTTGCAGTCTTCACGAGCGTTGCTTAAGATCAAGGTAAACAACTAACGCAATTTGCATTACAGATGTGTCAGGTGACATAACATGTCTACTTTTACCAGTCTCCAATGCATTCGTAGAGCGAGTGTTTTGACAATGTTGATACCATTCGTCCCTGGATATTTCCTGATTGATATCTTCCTTGTTGAAAGATAATCTCTATCACTGCGATATGTTCACGCGATTTGTTCATAAACATTTCCTTGTGTTAGCCTTTCCTCTTTATCAAGTCACGCCCTTGGTGACGTCAAATAGCGATGCTATATAACTAAGCTCTGTCTCAAGCGATTAACTTCAGTCTTGGCCGAGAACAGTCGTGTGTAAGCCCTTACTCCTGTCCATATCAATCAGGACAGGAACCTTAAATTAACATATCCACATTTCAACTTGGATTATCCTAAACTGCAAGCCGAACCATAATTTTAAAGTATATTCTATGCTCGTATACGCTGTTCCTATATATCCTAGGATCCCGCTACAACAGAACCAACTCTCAGCAGGTTATATATACTTAATTACGAATCAATATCGCATCGCCCGCTAACAAATTCACCATCTTACAGATGTGAAGACATCAACATATAGTACATTTTCCTGTCGTTAATAACAACGGCCACCAGCACACGCACGGCCACCAGCACACACACGGCCACCAGCACACAAAGAGTGGGTCACCGAGTGGGTGTAGAGAGTGGTTCAAGTGTGTGAGGCGCTGAGCTAAACATAACTTTCAATTTTTCCTTTCGATGTGCAGTAGTGATCTAGTAGCACTGAGTTCAGGCAGCTGTCATACTTACATAATTATTACATGCTGTAAGTGACATCGTATTACGGAAAATATCTGTTAAAACTTTCATATATGTAAACAGGAAACAGTCCATAATTATACAGTAAAATTGTTGAAAATTAGCTTAGCATACCTCGCAATGCTTGGAAAAAACTTACATTAAATTATAGCACAACTTATGACATTTGTTATTCTTTATCTAAAAAAAACTTAGTTAAACTCAACGATAAACTTTTCCTTTAACGCAACTGAAAACTCTTATATAGATTTCAGAGCAAAAAATCTTAGTTTCTCCAACTGCCAAGAAATGTTTTACAAAAACTGCAAAACTTATGTTAAGCGCAAATGAAAATTATTAGTTCATAGTGAAACTAGCTCTCCGTAACAACAAACGTAACAACAAACAACAAACAAACAGTTTAACGCACCATTAAATATTCTTATTGGAGTTCCCAAATCATCTACTGCGGCAAATTCGCATGCCTCTTTCAAATCACAGTCGGTAACCGCACAATTTTAAACAGATTGATTGATACTACCGGGTCCGCCACAACACATGGGTTCCTTATTTCTCATTGAAACAAACAGGTGAAATAATTTTTTACTGGCGATGAGCTAATAACCAAGAACTACACAAACAATTCACAAACGTATTTATTGAATATGACTTAAACTAACAGACCGTCATGAACGAATGAAACTCGAAAGATGCCAGTATATTCTGAATCTCATTGAGGATGGTGTGCCGCACAATTTTGTGTTTAGTGGCGAGAAGAAATTTGACATTGAACAAAGCGTTAGCCATCAAAATGACAGAGTTTGGAGTCGGAATGAATCTGTGAAAACCAGAAAAAAATAAAATCCCATGTCCGTGATGGTTTGGGTCGAGCGAACAGCTAGCCACTGCGAGGTCTTCACTCGTTTTCATCCCCCATGTGTGAAATAGAACATTCAGCGATACATTTCGAACATTTTAGAAGCTGTTTTGTTACCTTGGGCCCGTAAACACCTCAACGGCTCACCATGGAGTTTTCAACAAGACTCTGCCCCATCACATGGCTCAAACATGACCCTGCAAAACTGGATTCAGGGTCACATCCCAGCGTTCATTAGCAAAAATGAATGGCCCTCAAGAAGCCATGATTTGAATACTCTCGACTTTTTTGTGTGGGCTATTTTAGAGAGTAGGGTCTGCAGAACAAACACCTCATGATTCTTTGGATAGTTTGGAGTCTAAATGAAACGAGAATGTGACTTGGTCTCTCAAGAAATGCTGCTATAGTCTCCTGTGAAGCTTTCCAGCGTAGGTTGGATTCCGTCATTAGGAACAAGGGTGGTCTGATTGAATATATACGTTTGTGAGTTGTTTATAGGCAGTTATTGGCTATTAGCTCAACCAATAAAAAATTAATGCACCTCTTTTTTCATTGAGCGATATGAAAAATACGCGTTACCATAAATATGGTGGACCCTGTACAACGCAACTGTTCGTTGGACACTTTTTACTCATGACGCTCTAACATGAGAAGAGGTGTTGATCATCTCACTCTTTCGAGCCATTGTGCACTTTTCAGCGCATTTTCTCATTTATGGAAAAAATGCCCTATTGTGATCGTCATGTCCGTCCGTCCGTGAGTCCATCCGTGATTTCACGTTTTCTTCGACGAGAAAATGCGCTCTCTGTCACTCTCTGCAGTGAGAACTGGGTTATACTTTTTCCTTGGGTACTGCTGCCAACTATGAACCTCGTTGATAATCATGCAGTGCGGAGCAGTAAATGGATACAGTCAGGCGAATCTTCACGTCTAAGATCGGCCAGATGCGGGAGCTGGACAAATACTGTATCACTATAGAGAAAAACGGAGGGATTTGTCACAATGAGCACATGTAAAATGAACATTTTTCTGACTCTGATTACGAAGCTTTTATGATTGTCATCTATCACATTGAGAGGAAAGAAAGTAGTGCAGAACCCATATGAACGAGAGAGTTTCAGTCAGAATTAAGTTCCTTTTCACAATGGGTCTGAGGCTTCTGATCGATATGTGCATGTAGCTTCGCAATCCCCCTTTCACATTGAGGTGAGGGTCGAGTGCTGCCAATGCGTTGACCCACTTATTATATAAAAGGGGGAATGGGATTTTACGCGATAGGACGCGTTCCAACACGAGCACAATCCCTAATTTTATATCAGCCCTATTATTATCAACCAGGAATAAGCGTCGGCATCGGGAATCAACTTGCCCTACGGCAGGCAGAGGTGCGCACTGCGCACTGCATGGTTACACTTCACGTCACCCAATTAATGGGCCCTTATGATGGAGGACAGCGAACGATGAAAACGGCCCACTGCGGTGTGGCCGTAGGCTCCCAGAACTCAATGTAAGGACATCTTTCATGATATAGCATGCAACGCAAGTGTCTGAGCGTTGATGTAGCATGTAACATGTAGTACATGTGTGTGTAAGTTTGCTAACACGGCACACATGTTGCAATTGCTGATCAGTCTGCTGGTGGCAGGGAGCATCCATCATGATACTCACCGGGTGAGGTTGGATGTGCGGCCGTGCGGATAAACTATATAGAGTAAGGGGAGGCTGCCTAAACTGGAGGGAGGAGGGGAAGACAAGCTTCTTAGGGTGAGTGGGGAGGATAGTGGGCACGGCTTGCCGGTCGCCATGGGTGAAGGTGGACTCTCTTGTCTGGGTGCAGGAGATATGAGGGGACAGGTTTATTTGGGTGCAGGAGGTATGAGGGGAATAGCTCATATGCGCGGGTATTATCATGTCTCATGCTATTTGCCCCACTAAGAAGTTCATAAAATAGACCTGTTTTTCCAGTGCAGGTTCTGTGGGAAATCTAGTACAGAGACCGACAAGCTGCATATAGCCCGTTTTCTTGTCCCTATGCTGAGGCTATGTATAGGTTCTACTGTCCTGAAGGTCTTCATGTATTGCAGGTTTCCTTGTACTGCAGGTTATTTTGACTCAACACGTACATCGAGACAATATTCTTGAATGCGTCTGCTGGGCAAGAATAAGCTAGTCGGTCTTGATTAGAAGCAGAACTTCTCATCAAGACCTGAGATTGTCGCGGGCAGGGATTCTGGCAGGTGCAAGAAGGGATTCCTTCAAAACGCAACGTTTCTTGTTGAACGAACACAACACTGATGTAATTCTTAACAAGCACATGGTTTTATCGAAAATCATAGGTTATGGCATGTATAGTTCTGCGGTGAGTACGGGTATATGGCGTGTAAAGAAACAAGGTAAATACGGGTTAGCTGCGTGTACAGTTAGTTACACTGTAATTACGGGTTCGCTGCGTATACAGTTATACGGTAATTACGGGCTCACTGCGTAGTTTATCTGGGGCAGGAAATAACGTTATATGGTAATTACGGGCTCACTGCGTGTACAGTTACACGCATCGTCCACGGAGCGCAACATGACCTCGTCTCCTCGCTTAAGTGTTTTTCTGCTCCACAATTTCCATATAAATTTTTTATCCTTAGAATTAATGCCTAATTTTCAGAAGCAATTCAAATTCATAAATATATTTTGGTCGCCATCGTTTTGATTTCACATTAATAAAGACGATATACGTTAGCTCTTGCTTCGTTAAATTAATAGTTTAACTTTACTTCTTTCTTCGGGTTAACTTGAAAGTCAATTACATGCATGCATTGACTCCTTGAAATGGTGATTAGAAGGAAACTTTTTCAGCACAAACTAATTAAATGAAGCTGAATAAGCGACAGATTAAGGGAAATAAAATATCGTGATGTTTCATTACAGTAAATAATTTTACTTATATGATGCCCGACTGAGAACAAACTAAAGTTTATTACAGTATAACGTCAACCCCATACAGTATAACAAATCCATACAGTATAACGTCAACTCCATACAGTATAACGTCAACTCCATACAGTATAACGTCAACTCCATACAGTATAACGTCAACTCCGTACAGTATAACGTCAACTCCATACAGTATAACGCCAAGTCCATACCGTATAACGTCCACCCCATACTGTATAACGTCAACTCCATGCATTATAACGTCAACCCCATTCAGTATATATAACCTCAACCCCTTTCAGTATAATGTCAATTTCATTCAGTACAAAGTCAACCCCATTTAGTATACCCTCAACCCCATTCAGTATAACGTCAACACAACACAGTGAAACGTCCCCTCTTTACTCGACGGCGTCAGTGTAAACCTGAAACATTATTACGAACACTGTAGCTCACAGGAACATCAAAGTAAACTTTTTTTAAATGTAGCTCATCATCAAATTATTCAATATCATCCATTCCTTTATGGCATATTATCGGCCCACCACAAATTAGCAGTTTTTGGGAGACTTCAGCTAGTTACACAGAGGCAAGCGCACAATTATAACTAAAAAAATCCTGCATACATCTCATCATCTACTCAACGGTGTGAAACAATCGTACAATTACAATGTAAAAATGAAATATTAAAATAGAATTCAGGATAAAGGATATCAATAAGTTTACACACAGCGATGTCCTGGACTTCATTTCTGTGTCGAGGGGTCGCCGTGGTGAGGTTAATACAAAGGAGATCAATAGCGAGCTCAGCGGCGATCGTACAGAGCACAGCTTTCATATATTCCAGCTTCCATATATATTTTATGATGTAACTCATGAGTGAAGGAAACGACTCTCCGATATATTTAACAGTACTGCAAGATTCAATATACTAAACATCTCAAAATACTGCAAGGTACAGTATGCTGTAAGCTTCAGTACATTGTAAGCTTTAGTACACTGAAAGATTCAGTAAATTTTTAGCTGAGGACATAATGAAGAGCCTAATAAATTAAAAGGAATAGTATAAACATTTTTCGAATGTTCACAGTATTCTTGAAGCCAAAAAAATGCCAAAAATTTTAACAAGTTTTATGGCAAAGGACGGTGAGAATTATAAGCTTATGCCCGTAAAAACGGTATTGGCTAAGCAATACAAATTTTCTGTTAGCAAAAATTCATGACAACGATAAAAATTTGAGTGTCAGGTTTAGAAGAAGGCGCTGAAGGCCAACAAGCATGAGGCAAAACTAAAATTTTTAGCCAGCTTAATTTGTGCGTGAAAGCTGTACCTGATGTATACCCCGATCAACATATTTTTGATCTTTAGAAATATCGGCATTAACTTCCTTAGAGATAAACAAATAAAAACTCAATAATCCAACATGGAAGCGATTATCACAACAAATACGGTTATCGTTAGAGTTCCAATTATATAACAGACATAAATAAGAAGAAGGAAACTCAGGAAATTGACAAAAAAGCTACGGTAATCTTGAACGCAATCGAAGATTGCACGCAAAAGGCGCCTGCAACATCCTTTCATTCTCATACGAACATCGCCATTCCTCGCCATTAATACGATACATTGATATTGGCAATGTTGTTTTGAAATGTAAATAAGAGATCGTCGATTCGCTTGAATACTTTGACAGGTTGCACCAAGCCGAAACAATTCAAAGAATGCAATGTCTTTAATCCATTACATATAATTTCAATGTGTTATGTGTAATCCATTCTTCACGAACGCAAAACCTGAATAATTTCCGTTTATATTTTTGGAATAAGACAATCAAGTGAGAATTTCACCAATCTTTGCATGTGATGTACGTTGATATGCGACGTACTTTGTACAGTTTACATCAACGATCAACAAAAATGCAATTATTCAAGACAAAACTCGTTTATTTTCATTTTTTTTTACTTCTGGAAAGCTGAATTACAGTATGTTCATATTTCTTGAAGACTTGGGCTTCTAGTTAACTCACAGATCTACCATTATCCATGTCGGATATTTATTAGATCATACGAGGAGAGATTCAACGAGTTGAATAATTAAAATTCTTAACATGACTCACAGAAGCCATCAATGATCAACCGACACCAATCATCAAACCAGTTGATAGTTGAACTGTAGTAACTTTGATGTATATATTGATGAACATCATACAAGCAGTCATGCACACATGCCATCATTGCATCATTTTCACAATCATGTATGAGTAACCTTAACGCGTAAGTGAATGAATGTAAGCGAGTATGTAATGTAGTTTCCTGTACAGCTTTCATATTTTGCAAAAGTTTGTAGAGGTTAATAAATGAAGTCTTATATACAGTAACAACCTCTCTATTCGACCCACTAACTACACCCCGTATCTTTGGTTATGGGCAGTACTATCAGAATCATCAGATACGTAGATACATGGCATGATTAAAGTACTATCAGAATCATCAGATACGTAGATACATGGCATGATTAAAGTACTATCAGAATCATCAGATACGTAGATACATGGCATGATTAAAGAACTATCAGTATCGTTAGTCCAGATATATAGACACACGCCATTATTATACGAAAAAACAGCGTTACTAACTCTGTACATTTATGACGTCACTTAATTTTTTTTACCACGTTATATTTTGGGCATAACCTCGTAGTTCCTCATCATTATGGGGCTACGTACATTACATAAATTTAGGGTTCACTATAGAAGTTAGAGTTTGCTTAATATTTGACACACTGAATGCAGAACATCTTTTTATGGTTATATACGAAATTTAGAAAAAAAAGTTAAGAATGTTTAATGACCGCCTACAAAAGGTACAGGATATTAAGATTTTGCTGAGAGAGATTTATAAAATTTGCTGAGATTTATAAAATTATGATGCGGGGCTCTAAATATCGACAACAAATTGCACTTATGGACAAATTGTCGTAAAAATTACCAGTGCAGCATAGGAAAAGATGGAATCAATTATTTAATTGATTATTAAATCGGCAGATCAACAATTCCATTCTGCCAATATTAATAAGAGTAACCGAGAAGTTGCGATTCTAACAAATGCCGAACAAAATATTCACTCAAGCGATAACATGACAAACGAAAACCAGTAAAAACATTTATTTTATATTAAAATTATTAAAATGATACAGCACAACATCGGCTAAACTAAGTACTTTCATCAGTTGACACAAACATTATTAATCTAAAAAAGCATTTAGCCACCAATATTGCACTCAAACCGGCGTAAAAATAAGCAGAAGCACCAACAAGAAGCTACAGATACCAACGCTGCGCTATGAACACAAAAGAGGACTTCAGGGAGACGCTCGCGCGCACCTGCTGATTTTTTAGCACCTCTTCAGCGAGAAGCGGAACTTTGGAGCAGGCGGGAGGGGTGGGTGGGAGAAGCACCGGTACAGAGAAATCAAGCATGCAAATTATCAGAGAAGCCAAAAGGAACCGGATTCTTTATCTAGCGGCCGTGTTGATGGCTGCAGCGGCAGCGCCGGCAGCTTTCTCGTGTAGAGATCTCGTGAGCGACTCGATCCTGCTTATGCCCGCAGAAGGCACGCCGTTGCTGCTCAGGCGGTTGAGAACTCCGCTCAGCCGCCCCGACGATCCTGTGAGTCGAGACTCGGACTGCTGGTGCAACAGCGACGGGTTTGGGATCTGCCGCACGCTTGAGTTTGTGGCGCGCACCGGCGCTGAGTTGGTGGTGCTGGTGCGCTGCGGTGCGCAGGCGCTCGTCGTGGAGGTGACGACGCCGTTGAGCAGACTACGGTACGGCGACGTCGTCTTGACGCCGCTCGTAATGTTCACGGCCGGCGTCAAGCCGCTGGACGTACGCAGCGCGGCCGTCAAACTAGCGCCGTGTGGCGACGACAAAAGACTCGAGATCGAAGAAGAAATGCTTTTGTTGAAGACGTCAGCGAGGCTGCCAACGCCATTTACAGAAGCCTTACTCGACAAACATGAAGACTTGTTTCCGTTGAAAATAGATTTGGTCTGCGTAATGCCGTTGCCGTTGTTCAGTGTTGATTTCGTTATAGATATTGATGGAGGTTTATTAGGGCTAGAAACTAGTGATGACTTCGAGAAGCCAGAAATAAGTGGAATGCCAGGTTTAGTAGAATTAATTACTTGTGAAGGTTTTGCAAGGTTACTGACGGTGCTCGTTTTCACAGTATTGATCATTTGCCCTGATTTTGTAGCGGAGAAGGCTTGCGCCAGCTTAGCATGAGGGTCGAGCCGACTTGGCGGTGACGCTGGATTAGTGGTCGTCGATTGCTTGATGGAACAAGGGCCCTGAGATAACGTCGGCTTGGTAGAGCAAGAAACCACGGAATTAAGTTCATGGGTTTTACTATCCTTATCATAATTAGATTTTTGATCGACAGAATTTGCTAAAGAATTGATTTTCGGAGCAATGGAGCAGCCTACAGAAGAACTACTTTTCGGAGCAAAGCTGTTGTTAGCAGAAGAAGAACTATTTTTGAGAGCCGAGGAGCTGCCAGATGAAGACGAAACTTTTGCCGAGCTACAGGGAGCAGACGATGTAGAAATTGAGACGCTTGAATTAGCTTTAAGAAATGTAGGGCCGCCATTGTTGTTAGAATTAATGCTTGCGGGAGGAATGCTAAGCTTCGTATTTGGCAAGGAAGTTCGGGCGGGGGTCTGTAGAGAAGCTCCAGAAACCGACACGCCATTTGGAAGCGAATTAGAAGATGAAACAGAAGCAGATGACGTCATTATGTCGTTACAACTACTGCCATCAGTGACTTGACTAGCGTTGCTCCTTGCAGGAAATAGGGCACTGGAAGAGGAAGGAGGCAAAATGGGAGACGTAGCGTCGGAACAAGTTGATTTATTACCGCTATTCTTACTATTGTTATTTAACTTCAACTTATTACTCATTTGTTGACGAAAACACTCCGACAACTTTTGATTTGTTATTTTGAAAATAGGATCACTCGTTCTGCCAGATTCCTTGCTGACAGACTCTGTTGTTTTATCCGACGATGAGCTAGACACCGACGCGACTCTGAGAGGATCGCTGGAGCCTGACGACCGGTGAGTTGGACTCTTGTTCAATTTGCTTTTTAGGGTTCCATGCTTGCCGGCCCTGCTGATGGTAATGGTGTTTGTCACGGATCGGTTTTCTTCATTGGATAGTTTTTGTGATGGTCCCCCGGAAGCTTTACCGCCGTGAGTCTTGACATACGGCGCGGCTGGATCACTTTTCGAATTTGAATCAGATGAGTTAATGGCACTTATGGTGAGGGTGTCTCCGGAACCGTTCACAAAGCTTAGCGAGTCGGCAGTTTCTCGGAGTTTGCCAAGCTTAGAAGCCTGCATAGATTTCTTTGCCTCCTCTTGTGCTCTGGCTTGCACCAGAGCGAGCTGAATGACCGCCGCCTGGGAAAGCGTGAACAAATCGTGGAATCGTGCAGCGTGCGGAGTTTGATTCGAATTCCAGTTTGACCTTGACGGGGAAGTAGTGTTGTTTCTATTCTTCTTTTTAGAAGTTCTGCTCTGAGTTATCGAGAGCATTGTTTGTGTTCCCTGACCTCGGGACAAGTCTAAGCTGCCTCGGGCTCTAGCTTCACGTACACTGCGCGCGTGGTCGGAGAGGTCTAGAGCACCAACCTCGTCCATCGTTTCGTCAACTTCAGAATCTGAGAAAGCACAACTTCCGTCCTGACCACCAGCCTGAACCACGACATTGCGGCGAATGCGACGAGGGGGCTTAACGTCTACTGCTTCGTCGTTTTCAGATACGTTGGCCATAAACTCGTGGTCAGTGCTAGCATTGGAGTCGTCAGCGGTGTTCTGTTGTTCATCGTTCGTTCTCTCAAAGTCGGCTCTGCTTGCAGACGACACACGTTCGCTGTAAAGGTCCTCCTCGTCTTTTTGGTTTGTATCGTCCGTCTCAATTTCGAGCTCTGGTTCAGTCTCGTGACTCGTGTCGACTTCGAGCGGCGCTTCCGAGTCTTGGTCGCCCATGAGAGTTTCGTCCTCGTCGCCATCGCAGGACTCAGCGCGGGTTGACGACGACCCGAAAGTTGCCTCGTAATCCCCAGGTTCTTCAGACGAAGAACTTTCTTCACACTTTGCTTCGTGATGCATTTGGTGATGTTGCTGGCTTTCTGGGGTCTCAGGTGGGGTTGGGGGCCTGCCATGGGGGTCGTCGGGGGACAGTGGAGTCATGTGATGACTGCCTCTGGAACTGTCGCTGTGCTCACGAAATGACGATCTTCTCTCCCGCTCGCTCTCTATGTTTGAATTCTCCATTTTGGCGATTTTTTCGGGAGGTTCATGCATGTCATCGCAGTCAGACGACGATGGCTGTGAGGGGGGACCCACGGACAGCCCCCGCGACCCGTGGTTGAGGACGGGCTGGTGGGGGTGGCGGCGCTTCTTCACACGACGAGTGGCGACCACCTGGAAACTCAACTCCAGCGGGGATTCCTGTGAAGAAAAGAGCAAGAGAAATAGGTTAACGCTCTATTAACAATTATTAGTAATTCACAACACATCAGCCCAGCAGAGGTAATTCAATGAAATTAAAAAATATAAATAGCTCCAATATTAAACTGGTGCTAGCCCAGCTTTAATGTTGTACTGGCACTCCTCAACAGCAGCATCATCGCATCCTGTATTCACAATAAAATCTAACAAAACAACTAGCGACAAGTTTGAATAAACATCGGATAGGAGCGATAAGAACAAGACTGGCCGCCATGAAGACAGAATACAAGAAGCACAAGCATCGATCAAGCGGAAACGAAGAAAGACGGGGAAGAGAGTGTAGAGTGATAAAAGAGAGAGGGGTACGAACGAAGGCAGCAGAGAAGCCCAGTAGCGTTGCGCCGGCGGTGCGTAAGCAGCAAACAAGAGGAAAAGTCATATGACAACTTCTGGGCAGCGGAGGAAAAAAGTCGTAATCTTAACAAGGAACTTTGAAGCAACGGCCATCCCGGTATACTAATCATAATAAATTATTATAAACAGTCCGGAGTTTGGCTTGTGCGACTAAAGTTTTAAATACTAGTACGATTATTTTGAGTCTTAAATTTTTGCTCATAAATTGGCAGTGAAATTATGGGGCTCATTTACTGTCGCTTTTAAATTTAATGGAATTTTTGGAGAACGTTTGATACATGCAACTTTTACTATATACGTATGCTAAAATTTAGAATGCATATTCAGCACACGCAAGTAATGTAGTGCATGCGTGTCACCTGTTAATTAACAGGTGACCTAAAAGTTAATTACTAATTACAGATAGTGCGTGTCAGATGTGTATGCAGCTCGTTAGTTAGATGTAGTGCAGCTCGTTAGTCTCAGATGTGTATGCAACTAAACTAACGAGCTGCATACACAACTGACACGCACTACCTGTAATTAGTAATTAACTTTTAGGTCCTTAGGCTTCATACAGCACTTATAGTATCATCGGCTTTCCATCAAAACAAAATTGTTGCTCCTAACGTCAAATAATAACATCGCAAAAAAGTAATTACTAAAGCGTTGGGGCATATTCATTGCGTCAAGTCTCCGGTAACAAAATATTTGTGAGTTTATTCTCTAGTCTAGGAAAATGCGAAGAATTTCCTAGCACCCAGCACGCACTAGCTTCACTAGTCTCTGCCTCAACGAAGCTGCTCAGAGTTCCGTCATAATCGGCCGAGCTCCGCGCACGCTTCACTGCGCGCGCGCCGCAATCATCACCGCGGAACTTCACGGCAATAAAACTGATTGCTGGACTCGCCACGCAGCGCTGGATTGCGCGCCGCTGGAAGGCGCCTCATGCACCGGACTGCGCCTTGCTGGACTGCGTGCTGCTGGACTGCGCCCCGCTGGATTGCGCGCCGCTTGAATACGCGCCGCTGGACTGCACGCCGCTGGACTGCACGCCGCTGGACTGCACGCCGCTGGACTGCGCGCTGCTGGACTGCGCGCCGCTGGACTGCGCGCCGCTGGACTGCGCGCACACGCCGCTGGACTGCGCGCCGCTGGACTGCGCGCCGCTGGACTGCGTGCTGCTGGACTGCGTGCTGCTGGACTGTGCGCCGCTGGACTGCGCGCCGCTGGACTGCATGCCGTTGGCCTGCGCGCCGCTGGACTGCACGCTGCTGGACTGCACGCTGCTGGACTGCGCACCGCTGGACTGCGCGCCGCTGGACTGTGCGCCGCTGGACTGCGCGCCCTCGCTCTCCCTCGGGTTAAGCACCAATAAATTTACCTCGCGAGGCGCCGAGTGCGCGAGCAGCTGCGGGAAATGCGGGGCCGAGAAATGCTGGGCGGAGATGAACTCCGTCGCTCAGGAACGAAGAGAGCAGAGAGCGATAAAAGAGAGTGGGATACGAACGAAGAGAACGGAGAGCGATAAAAGAGAGTGGGATACAAACGGTGAGAGTGGGATACGAATGATGAGCGGCAAAAACAAATAATGACGAGTGAACACAAATGAAAAGGTTGGAAATGATTGATGAGAGAGGAATTGCAGCGTAGAGAGTAGAGCGTGAGTGGAGAGAGCGGAACACAAATGGGGAGGCAGGAAACTAAACTTGGGAAGGGTATAGCGAAGGAGGTGTGTAAAAGGAACACTCTCATCCGTTGATATTCCTTCTCAATATTCGTGTTCCTTCGTACACTGTAATAGACAGCTAAGCGCCTATTTAGGATCTCAAGTTTTAATTCTCAAGTTAAAAATACGACTTATCCCAGGCATCCGTCGACATTATCGAAACCAGGAATAACCAATCGAGGGTTAAACTGATTGGCCGTCACGGCCAATCAATTCAGTGGATGCAATTGGAAGCGACGAATCAATTCAGTGGAAGTGACGTTCAGTGGATGCAATTGCGGCACAAAAGCTTGACAAGTTTGATAAATTGAGGCACTTCCGGGCACTGTGCGACCTGTGCAGCGCCGAGGTGACCTCACGTGACCTCTGCACCGCCGAGGTCACCCACAACGAGAACCTCTGAATGAGAACCCACGAGAACCTCTGAATCAGAACCCAAACGAGAACCTCTGAATCAGAACCCACAACGAGAACCTCTGAATCAGAACCCACAATGAAAACCTCTGAATCAGAACCCACAACGAGAACCCCTGAAACAGAACCCACAACGAAAACATCTGAATCAGAATCCACAACGAGAGCCCCTGAAACAGAACCCACAACGAGAACCTCTGAATCAGAACCCACAACGAGAACCTCTGAATTAGAACCCACAACGAGAACCCCTGAATGAGAACCCACCACGAGAACCTCTGAATGAGAACCCACAACAAGAACCTCTGAAACAGAGTCCACAACGAGAACCTCTGAAACAGAACCCACAACGAGAACCTCTGAAACAGAACCCACAACAAGAACCTCTGAACAGAACCCACAACGAGAACCTCTGAATCAGAACCCACAACGAGAACCCCTTAATCAGAACTCCCAACGAGAACCTCTGAATGAGAACCCACAACGAAAACCTCTGAAGCGGAGCCCAGAACGAGAACTTCTGAATCAGAACCTCTAACGAAAACCTCTGAATTAGAACCCGTAACGAGAACCTCTGAAACAGAACCCACAACGAGAACCTCTGAAACAGAATCCACAACGAGAACCTCTGAATTAGAACCCACAACGAGAACCTCTGAATGAGAACCAACAACGAGAACCCCTGAATCGGAACCAACAACGAGAACCTCTGAAACAGTACCCACAACGAGAACCCCTGAAACAGAACCCCCCACACGTAGGAAGCCCCCATCCCACGCAGGGTTCTCAGAACGAGGCAGCGAACACGTCGCCGTCTTGTAGGACAAGCAGTTGACCAGAGACAAGAAAAAAAAAAAAAAAAAAAAAAAAAAAAAAAAAAAAAAAAAAGTAGAGACAAAAAAAAAAAAAAAAAAACACCGCAAACGGAGCAGAAGATTTTTTTTCCTTGTAGCGGCAATGGCAGGGAAGAGAGCAATAATTCTTACGATATCCTGCAGTCGTTACCAAGGATGACGACGACTGTGACTCTCTTCCTCTTTCTCGATACTCCCCCCTTCTCTCTTTCTCTCTTTATCTCTCTTTCGCTCCCTTGTTCTTTATTTCTTAGACACATACACAATTAACACATGGCGCCTAAATATACCGCAGGCATGGATCAATAATGCTTGTGTATAAAAGTTGCAATTTTATGCGCTTCAAGATAATTTATGTCACGTACGCTGTATATTTCTCAAATAATCTAGTCTAAAAACCGACGAACATTCTGACAAATGTCAAATAACAGACGATGTCCGCTTGGAATTCACTCTTTTTCCAAGTGAATTCGGTGCGATGTTGCGGGCAATGTGTATAATTTTCATGCATAAAACATGCAGTGAAATATTAATGTCGCACGTGAATAATGACTCTATGTAAAGTTAATGTTACACACATTAAGTTAATTTCAGTTTCACGCTCTAGGAAAGACATGAAAAGCGACATAAAAATATGAGGTAGATATCATTTATCACTGAAGCACACTCAACACACACATCACACACACGAAAAACACACATTATTTAAGAATAATTCACACATCACTCAAACATCACGAATTACGTACAAATCACTAAACATGTCACACACATCACTCACGCATCGTTCGCACATAACAAAACTCACACACACACAACACACACAACACACACATCACACACATCACACACACATCACACACACACACACACACACGCATGCACACATCACTCACCCTGGTCCATGTGTAGATGTAAGCGATCTCCATGAGCGTCCAGGCGTCCAGCAGCCTGTCTTCTCCGTGCAGAAGTTCCACCTTCGTTTACAACAGAATACATAATATGAGTAAAATTAAACGACTAAATGTAATGACTAAATGTAAGCGATACAATGTAATCAATGGAATATAAAAAATAAGAGACGAGAAAAAAGCATTTCACATCTTGAGGATAGTTGCAGATTTTACCAATGGATAACACAGGAGGATAACAAGGAGGATCGTAATCCTAAATAATTCAAGAATACGCAATATGCCAACAGGATCGCTTAATATTAAAAAAATGCTGGATATCACTATAAGAAACGAAGTGAACGTTACGTTATAGCAGTGAATTTGCAATGCTCGTAATTATAACAACTAAACCTGAGTATTTTCGTCCATTGTGTTGAAACAAATTCGAAATAAATGAAAAATAATAGTATTAATATAATATTAATAGTAATATTATCATGGGAAATTTTTCAATCCGGTAGTGAAGAAAGACGAACCAGCATTATTCACATCAAACTAAATCAGACTATACCCACACCATATGCATATAACCAACCATAAGGAAAAAAGTGGGTTACATGTATACAGATGATTCAAGGTATATTAGTGGAAAACCTCTAATCATTGATACAAAAAGCTTATTCGTCCTTAAGTGATTCAGTCACCTAAATTCGACAAGGTCACCGAACTCTCATGAAGTATAAGATTCATCGATCAAATTATTCAAGTTCTCTATATAAATGTCCGAACATGAATTAAACGAACAAAATCCACAACAAGACACAGAAAAAAAATCCAAATTACCGAAACGTTTTATTTGCCTTTAACTGAAAACGTTGACTCACCCTAAGTGGGTCAGGCACGCGGTGCTTGCTCTTGACGAGCTGCTTGAGCACGTACACGGGCACGGTCGCGGGGCACCTGAAATAACGGACCATGTCGTCCTCCCCTCCTCCTTCCCCGTCTGTAGGGGAGGATGGGCCCGTCCTCTTGACGTCGTCGGGGGACGACATCCCGACGTCTTCCCCAGGCACGGTCCCGTTTGGGACGTCGCCAAGGGCCCTCCCGTTGGGCCCCGCCGACCCAGTCGAAGAGCGCCGGCGACTGAAAGAGCAAAACAAGATTTATCAGCGACATACACTCAGAGAAATCAATGAGAATTTGTCCAATTAACAATGCACTTTTTGACCTTGAGCGGGTCATTCTGAACTAGTTTGGCCCACTGAGAGGCCGTATCAGTGCTATACATCCACTATCTTCTCATCATGTGGGCAAGAACTTGTGTCGTGTCACGTTTTGGACTATTAGACTCATCCATTTTTTCGAGCGCCGTGTGTGCTCATGAAGATAGAGCAGATCGATCAACAACCTGCGGGACTTACACAGTATAGGTCGGTTCGGTGGAGCCTGGCTTTATAGGTCGAGGAATGCGAAGTAGCTTTCTTTGTGACGGATTTTACAAGAGTTTATGCGCCGACGAAACATTGCTTTGCTGTCACCGCCGAGGTAAGTAGAATGCAGGATGATAACATCCAATTCAACTCACGACTAAGGTTATGTAAATAAAAATACACGTAAAATTGTTATTGTTTTAATATGGCTGCTTTATTTACAACCAAAAGTCGATACTCGTTGAATGATTAGCATGCCTTGATAAATTTAATAACGTCCATTATAGTCATCAAAAAATATGTATATAAATAAATAAGGTCCCTAAGCACTACAATAGACAGCAATGCCTTCACTCTTTGGTTTTCTTTATAAAAGACAACAATGGAGAAAACACAAGAACAATTGCCGAATTTCTTACACCGACAACTCGAACAAAACTGACACTGCGTGATAGTGTAATAATTGGACAAGAGTACAATGTAATTGTATTCAGCACAGAGGCAGAAAACACACAATGGAGGCACAAAACACATAATGGTTTCAGGTTCACAATACTCGGTTGAAATTCAGGCTGACTTTCAGGTTGCCACCGATAAGCCGGACAAGATTTTTTGGAAGGCAGGCAAGCGGTGGCCGTGGCTTGACGAGACAATGGCAGACGCTGCCGAACAATAGAGGCGAGTACGACAACTGCGAGGCTCTTGACAACCACTCCTGCCACCACGACAAGTGACAACCACTCCTGCCACCATGACAGGTGACAACCACTCCTGCCACCACGACAGGTGACAACCACTCCTGCCACCACGACAGGTGACAACCACTCCTGCCACCACGACAGGTGACAACCACTCCTGCCACCCCAACAGGTGATAACAATATTTAAATAGGTATTAAGCACAGTTACTTGAAGACACAAATTTTGGAAATTCCATTTCGCAAGGCAAAGCTGGAGCAGAACTGGAACCTGGAGCTGGAACATAGCTGGATTCCCATGAGATTCTAGCTCAAGTTGTAGGAATGATAACAATGATAACATTTATTCTTCGTATCATGCAGGCAATCTTTGGAGTATGATGCTGATGAGGAAATTTCTGGAAGACAATTTGTATAGTTTGATTGGACTATTTTCAAGGCATGATACCGAAAATCTCGGAGGTATGAAACCGACAATCTCGGAGGTATGGTGCCGTTAATCTACGTATAAGGCTTCATTCCATTTTCAAGGAATAATACAGTCAATCGCTAATGTGCGATACGGGCAATCTTAAAGGACAATCCTTGGCAACGATTGTGGAGGGCTACTGGCATGCACATTACTTCCCGATTTTAAAGTCCTTCGTCCTTCATCAAGCGCAAACTCAAAAGTTTTTAGCAGCGGCTTAGCGTTTCCTCTTCGAGCGGTTTTTGCTAATTGATGTTGAGGGTTGAAGAATGGAGTAAAAGTGGATCATAATTTCTACCATGAACAATTGCTCATTAAGCGTAATGATCCTTAATACACACACAAACGTCCGCACCACACATACAAACGTCCGCACCATACACACAAACGTACCGCACCACACACACAAACGTACCGCACCACACACACAAACGTCCGCACCACACACACAAACGTACCGCACCACACACACAAACGTCCGCACCACACACACAAACGTGGGAGATAAAGTCCCACATTTATCAGTTCTATACATAGCAGTTATCTGTATAAAAGAGCGCCCACATCATTTGTGTGGCGCACAATGGACTAGTTTGGTCGCGCAGGAATACTTGCGCAACAATAGACCTGTCTCTTATACACATCTAGATGTGTATAAGAGACAGGNATATACTCCTAGGATCTGATATATGAGACTTCTGCCTCCCTATATACTCCTAGGATCTGATATATGGGACTTCTGCCTCCCTATATACTCCTAGGATCTGATATATGGGACTTCTGCTTCCCTATGTACTCCTAGGATCTGATATATGAGACTTTTGCCTCCCTATATAGTCCTAGGATCTGATATATGGGACTTCTGACTCCCTATATACTCCTAGGATCTGAAATATAGACTATACATGGGACTTTTGCCTCCCAATATACTCATAGGATCTGGTCTTTGGGACTTCTGCCTCCCTATATATTCCAGGATCTGATATATGAGATTTCTGCCTCCCTATATACTATATACTCCGTCCGATATACGAGTTACATTTCCTGTATATATGTCTTGAAGAGGCGTCATATATTCCTGTCATCAGATATACTATATAGCTTCAAGTCCTATATGTATATTCCTTCTGTCAGATACAAGAGTTTTATTTGACATGCTGCACCGTGAGCAAAAAGCATGCTATACAATATATATAGTAGTATATAGTTATACTAAAACGCAATTAACCATACTACTATAAAAAATATACCACAACAATGTACTCGTCAACATCTATACAGTAAAATAATGTATAGACACAGTGCAAATGGCATTTGTGTTGTACTTGGCATAGAAATGGCATTGACAGGAAAATTTGTGATGGTCGCAGCACTATATACATTGCGATAAGATAAGGCGAAAGATGATGAATACAACAAGATAATATGCAAGATAATTAAGGTCACGGGTGGAATAATTAATGAGAGGGCGAAAAATTGAAAGGCTGAACATCCCATTAAAACTTGAAGCAAGAGTCTGAACTTTACATCGGGGGATGGGAGCGGGGGGGGGGCACTACACCATACACGCTGTGGTGACACACCACACGCTGTGGTGACACACCACACGCTGTGGTGACACACCACACGTTGTGGTGACACACCACACGCTGTGGTGACACACCACACGCTGTGGTGACACACCACACGCTGTGGTGACACATCAAACGCTGTGGTGACACATCACACGCTGTGTTGATACACCACACGCTGTGGTGACACACCACACGCTGTGGTGACACACCACACGCTGTGGTGACACATCACACGCTGTGGTGACAAACCACTTTCCACTCATGTATTAATTGGCGCGTAATTGGCTAAGCTGTTGGCAATTACACTCTGCCCAAGAGTAGCGTGTATTGACAGCGCTGCGCTGGCTGCACGAGTTCTAATTGCGCGGCCTGCAGCTCGTCTTAATTACGTCACTAATTACAATATTGGTTAAATTCACATTAAATTAATTAACTATGCATAAACTCAAACAACGCAAACTTCTTAAAACACTATTAATATATAACAGACTTAGACGCCATTTCCTCGCCAGTTCGCCTTAAACACACACACACACACACATACATACAGGCACACACAAACCACAACACAGGAAACATACAAACACACCGCACGTGTCATCACGCGCATACAAAGCTGCGTACGTGTGGAGAAGCCCGATGCTGCGTATTGCGCACTCAGTGCAATGTGTGAAAATTTTGTTGCATGATGTTTACTTGATGGCAACACATGTATACCACCACGTCAAGTATACCACCACGTCAAGTATACCACCACGTCAAGTATAAGGTTTTACCATGTATGAGGTATATTGGCCCTATGTAGAAATCATGTGATTTCTACGTGGCCTAGCTGGGCAGAATTTTCACAAAAACCATGGGGCTGCCATATGGCATTTTCACATGTGGCCAATATTGTCATGCCACTTGGGACCAACATGGGCCCCTTTGAAAATTGTTACTAGGGGAGCGAGCAGTCAAGACGATATACGCGCCCTCGACGAGCGAGCAGTCAAGACGATATACGCGCCCTCGACGAGCTTGACGCGCGAGCAGGCAAGACGATATACGCGCCCTCGACGAGCTTGACGAGCGAGCAGTCACGACGATATACGCGCCCTCGACGAGCGTGACGAGCGAGCAGTCACGACGATATATGCACCATCGACGCTCGACGAGGGTACGAGCGTGAAGAGCAATAACCAACATCACGCCATGTGCTCTAGCACCCTCCTCCCGCATCCTCCTACACATTCCCGATTCTAAATCAACTTTCACGAACCCAGAAAAAAGAGCAAATTAGGAACAACGGGAATTGTTGCAGAATTTGTATGACAATTGGTGATGTTAACGTCTTTAATGATGTTAACCTTGGTTCTCAAATCATCCAATCTAATGTAAAAGCAAGCGTTAAGAAATGCAAAAAGTAAGAGGTGTGAATTGTCTGATTTTCTCAGCCAATTGCGCGGATGGGAAAAGAAGTCACCCCACGAGGGAAGGAGGTTCCGGGCCGAGGGGAGGAGGGAGAAGAGGAGTGGGTAAGAGGGAGAGGGGGACGTAAAAGGCCCCAGAAGAGAAAGGGGATGACAAAAGTTGAGCCAATTAAATAGAGTCGACGGCGGCAGAGACGCTGCGGCTGTCGAGCGCCGCGGCTTAGGGCGGCTTCTCTGAAGAATTGCTCTGAGGAGGAGGGTCTCTGTGTGCCCGCACTCAGAGAAACAAGTGGGACTTTGTCCAAATAGCAATGCACTTATGGTCATTGTGTGAGTGATTTTGACCAAATTTAGCGCGGCAAAATGGCGTATCGGTGGAAAATATGACCCAATTATTGTTCTGAGTGTAAGTTGTGGTACAACAAAAAATGATAACTGCCGCCGCGTCAACGCCGGCCAATCATTGGCCATCGATGATACGACAATAATTTTCGTCACGGAATTTTCGTCGCTCAAGCGCAACAACTTTCATCGCCGTCACCTCCGCTGTGCTGCGTCGTGGCGACGACGAGGCAGCTTCATCGATGGTCCACGCAAAGCATGACGTATGACAGGCGCGAAAAAATGTTCAATGCAAGAACAATCCGTCATTATGAACCATATAAAAGGGAAAATAATTTCATTAATAGATGTTGTCTCGTTACATAAATCGAAAAAAAATCGTCCGAAGAGATAGCTGCACAGTTTGAACCCTTAATTGGGAAGCCATGTCATTTAGAGCGCGCGTAGCATTAAACTTTTCTAGAAATGCAGATCTGATGTTACGGACTGTACAGGAACTTGCAGTTTCTGAAGTGAGTTTAAACACTGAGTTAATTGAACGTCAAAGTCTGAGTCCGCCTAATATTCATATTTTATTAGAAAAATTGGTGTCGCGCGTGAGCATTATTTGGGGACAGCGCTTAATTACCAGCGGGACGTTCTGCGGGAACTTTTTGTTGTTATAAATCGAATAACATTAGCAGAATAGCATAGTCATAATCAGAACTGCTGTAGTGGCGGATGACGAGGCTGACGGAGTCACTGACCTGTTGTAGTGGCGGATGACGAGGCTGACGGAGTCACTGACCTGTTGTAGTGGCGGATGACGAGGCTGACGGAGTCGTCACTGACCTGTTGTAGTGGCGGATGACGAGGCTGACGGAGTCGTCAGGGCTGAAGACGAACTGCTGGAACTCCTCCACGTCGCGCTGGTAGGCGGGGGTGCCAACTGCACGGGAGAACAATGCACGGCAATGAGGCATCGTACAAAAAATACCGAATTTAAAATATAATAGAAATGAAACAATTTGCTGAACAGTACTATAGAAATGATGAAACATGCAGAACATTAATAGATATTATAGGTGATTTTGTTTCAGCATGGAAGGCTTGTATAGGATCCAGAATGAATGAAGAAGCTAACTTAGCAAACATTTAAGGAAAATAGAAGTGACGGCGACGTGAGCGAGCAGTTTAAATTAATAAATGATGTCATGGAATAGTGACCGTATATAACAACAATACATTGACAAACATTGTGATTGTCAATGTATTGTCAAACACCATTATATAGTGATGCCTTAATTACGCATACGAGTTCTTACGATTAACTAAGTAACCAAATCTAAGTCATTCAAACGCAAAAATATTATGTATGCAATTTTGATGCTTATGATAAATAGATAACTTACTTGTAGCCTTATTTGTAGGTATAGATAAGTGGAATGGACTATATTATAGATACAAAAATCGGTATAGATACATGCCTATACATGCTAGGCCACTCAGCTATGCCAGCAGCACACAGTATGGATAGGAAGCCTCTTATAAAAAGCTTGTCGGCTTTGTTAGCCTCACAAACACAGCGTCGGGTCGATAATTCGCTCCTAAAAACACACAGACTATCCTTCATTTATAGCCACACGGAAGAGTGCAGGTTAAACTCCGGCGAGGTATTGCAAGAAATTGCTCTTTGATAGCTCCCTGGATCTCTAAACCTATTCCATTTACTGAGCTTTGCAATAACGTATCTATAGCGAGTATGACATGCCAGGTTTTTAAAATGGGTAACGAGTAACGACTAAACCTAAATCAATGTGAATTAATACATGAACACAGGATAAGAATCGTCTTGTCATGAGTTATTCGTACATATATCCCAGATACCTAGTTGCATTTACATGCAGATTCAAACTGTAGAACTTTTACTGCATCATACTTAGCCTAAGTGGTCACACCACATATACAGGGGTTGGAAAAAAATAAGGAAAACACCTGATATTTTGATATCTGAATTTTTGAAAATGGTATTAACAGTGAAAACTTGACATGTTTTCCAGCTATTGTTGCTGCTAATTGATATTTTATCCTTGTACTCACATTTTTAGTAAATTTTTGTGCCTATAACTTAAAAATGGCAAGCCTCTCTGACTTTCAAAAAGGCCAATTAATTGTTGGTGCCCATATATATGGCAGGTGCTAGTGTGACAGAAACTTTCCGAATGCTTTACTTTTCTAGAAGTACAGTCTCAAAAGTAATAACTGCTTTTGAAAAAGAAGGAAAAACGTCCTCTCCAAAGCACAGGTCTGGCCGAAAGTCGAAGTTGTGAAGAGAGACCGCCGGCGGATAAATCGAATTGTGAGGGACAATCGAAAGGCCACGGCTGTTAAAATTACTGCAGACCTCAGTGGACACCTACGGAACCCAGTTTCCATCAAGACTGTCCGCCGAAAACTGCACAGTGCACAGATCTGGATTCTATGGAAGAGCTGAAATTAGAAAACCTCTGGTTTCAAATTCAAATGCTTCAAAGCCTTTAGAGTGATGTAAAAACTTCCAAAATTGGTCCCTCGAGCAGTGGAATTTTTTTTCTGACCAATCTTCGTTTATTCATTTCCAACCTCTGGCCGAGTTTACATTTGGAGACAGCCAAAATATTCATTTAATCCCGACTACCTCCTCCTAACCGTATAACAAGGCGGGGGATCTGTGATGATCTGGGGTGCTATTTCTTGGAAATCCGGCGGACCAATGATTTCTCTTCGCGGAAGAATCAACAGCCGTGACTATTTAAGAATTTTGGATGACAGAGTTGATCCAATGTTTAAAGCACTGTTTCAGGGGGGGACGCCATCTTTCAAGATGATAATGCCCCGATCCATATAGCTAGAATAGTTAAAAAATGACACGAGGAACATTTTAATGAAGTTGAGCATCTCATTTGACCACTGCAATCACCAGACCTGTATATTATCGAACACTTATGGTCGATTTCAGAGACGCAAGTCAGAAGTCGATTCCGGCCGCCATCGTCTTTCAAAGTGATTGAGGGAGTTTTAAGTGAAAATGGGTTTTAATTTCTTTAGAAACAATTCACAATTTGTATGAACCTCGGAGAATTGAGGCTTTAATTGCCACAAAAGGCGGACCTACACCAAACTAAAATATATTTTGTGGATTTCTCAGGTGTTTCCTTTATTTTGTCTAACCCTGTACTTGTCCCATGGTTTGAGATAGCAGTCTACTTTAGAGGTATTCACCGACCTAATTTCGGGGTATTCACTGACTCACTTTGGGGATTTTTACTAACCCTTTGTTTTTACAGACTAGCTTTGGAGGTGTTAGCTGACCCACTTTGGAGGTGTTTGCTGACCCACTTTGAGGATATTTTTACTCACTCACTTTGAGGGTGTTTACTGACCCACTTTGAAGGTGTTTACTGACCCACTTTTGAGGATGTTTATTAACCCACTTTGCGGATGTTTACCGCCCCACTTTGAGGATGTTTACTGACCCACTTTGGAGGTATCTATTGACCCACTTTAGAGGTGTTTACTGACCCACTTTGGGGGGTCTACTGACCCACTTTGGGGATGTTCACTGACCCCCTCTGTGGATGTTGACTGACCCACTTTGAAGGTGTTTACTGACCCACTTTGAGAATGTTGACTAACCCAATTTGAAGATCTTTACTGACACACATTAGAGATGTTTGCTGACCCCCTTTGAGGATGCTTACTGACTCATTTTAGAAATGTTTACTGACCCACTTTGAGGATGTTCACTGACCAGCTTCAGGAGTGTTCTGGTAGAAGCGGATGCGGCGTCTCATCTCTGTCTGGAAGAGGCCGGGCACAGTCTTGTAGACCAGCGCCTGCAGCACCCGATCACTCCTGCACACGAACAACACATGTGTCCACTTTAGTACGTTATTTAGTAACGTCACTCGAATATTGTATTATGTAAGATTGCTTCGTAAATACTATATGTAAAGTAAGCAATAAGCGTGTGAATAGTTTATTAATAGTAAGCGTGTGAATCAGATTTGAAATTAGTTATTTGGCAACATACAACCTCAGCGCTATACACATATTTGCAGCTTAATTAGCAGGACAACCTGCAATCACAACTGTGGTGCAATGCAATTCCATGTGACGTGTGCTGCACGTCGGTACATAAACTATAGGTTCATCATTCGCAAAATAAATTTATCAAGCCTCATACGTGGGGTGAGTGCAGCGATATAATCTCTGGCGATTAAATTAACAGAAGAGCTTTATAATAGGATGAACCTATATAGTTGATGTGCGGAGGTGCATATGACACATGTCACACATGCAGCACACGTCACAACCCCGCGAACGCAACCAAAATAACATTAGGACCTAATTAATAAATACGCATAAACTCAGAACTTCAACGCTATCCACGTAGTTTTGAAAGTAGCTCTTAAATTAAGTAAAAAGTTTGACTCCAATTGTACACGACGTTGCGCCCACGTGGCTGAATTTGACTCGGAAAAACCGCCCTTCTCATCCCACCCCAAAACATCGACGTTTCTCCGGTGTTTTCGCGATGTTTTACCGCCGCTGATCTTCCTATTTATCCTCCCTAAGTTATCAGCCTCGATCCCACAGCGGGATCCTGCGCGGGATCTTCGGTCCTGGGGGAGCTACTTAGAGATCCCAACACGTGCATCCCCACCACAGCTGCTGCATTCATGCATACGGTCGTATATGTATAGCAGAGTAGCAGCTGTATTGATGCATACGGCTGTATATGAATAGCAGTGTATAGCAGCTGTATTGATGCACACGTTCGTAAAATGCCCTGGATGAGTATATATAGCAGCTGATTTTGATGAAAACGGTCACATAAACGCAGAGTATATACAGCAGTTGTATTGATTCATATGTACGGCCAGATAAACGCTGAGTATATATCAGTTGTATTGATGCAAACGGTCATTAATATGTCAGCCGCGTACTGCAGCAGCTATATACTATATAGCAGTCGCTTAGCTGTGTTACGTGTAACATGCAGAGAAAGCAGTTGCATCTGCGAAATTCGATGACAGTTTCTTTCTGAAATCGAATAAATTAGAATAAAACGCACATGTACATTAATAAAAGTAAAAACTGTTAATAATATTTTACAGAAAAATGTATTGTTTTCACTTGTTTTTATTTACGAAGATTTTAATGAATACGTCGCACGAATAGTGATCGAAGCAATGATCAAATTTTGCACCTCACTCGCAACACGATCAGATGAGACATTCACTGCTATTTTCTGTTCACTGTTGAACGAACGATCGTAGAAGCTTGAGCTCACTCTATTTACAAAATTTTTTTATATAATCGTTTTATTAATCGTATAATAATATATAATTTATAAAAAATTTATATAATCGTATCAAAATTTTTAGCGCATTTTCTCATTTATGCAAAAAATACACTATTGTGCTCGCCATGTCCGTCTGCCGTCCGCCCGTGACTTAACGTCTTCGTCGACGAGAAAATGCGCTCTCTATCACTCACTACAGTGAGTACTGACTTATATTTGTTATATAATTGCCTTGCTTTTTAGCATTATTTTCGCATTAGAATTAATTAATATTTGTAGATGTATTAATTAATTTTCAATTGTAAGTGATTATTTTTATTGTGTAATTTCTGACGTAATTCCAGACACTGCAGCGCCGTAGGACCGACAAGGTCTGCCGACTATGTCCTTGCGATGAGATGAAGGATCTCCACTCACCGCCAGCACCGCAGTTTACGACGCAAAAAATACCCGAGATGTTGAGAAAAACGCCCCTAAATGAAACAAAAAACTTCTGCGGCTTAAGAAAAAACTGCCATAAAAACAGTCGCGGTGTCAAGAAGCTGCTACTGATTGAGCTGCCGCCCGCACTTGCTGCGTGCATGGGTGACGCTATAGGGTAAATGATGAGGTATTGGGGTAACTTGGTATATGTTGAGGTAACTTGGTTTATGTTGGGGTAACTTGGTATGTTGGGGTAACTTGGTATATGTTGAGGTAACTTGGTTTATGTTGGGGTAACTTGGTATATGTTGGAGTAACTTGGTATATGTTGAGGTAACTTGGTATATGGTGGGGTAACTTGGTATATGTTGGGGTAACTTGGTATATGTTGGGGTAACTTGGTATATGGTGGGGTAACTTGGTATATGGTGGGGTAACTTGGTATATGTTGGGGTAACTTGGTATATGTTGAGTAACAAAGTAGATGTTGGGGTAACTTGGTATATGTTGAGTAACAAAGTAGATGTTGGGGTAACTTGGTATATGTTGAGTAACAAAGTAGATGTTGGGGTAACTGAGGAGATATTGATCGAGATGGCCAAGGTATAATGATGAAGTTGCTGAGTAGATGTTGGTAGCTAAATATGGAGATGTTGAAGTAACTATATTTATATATGTTGGGGTAACTGAGCGAATTTTGGGTAGTAGAGTAGATTGTAGAAAAGCTAAGATGTTAGGGGTACTATATTAGTAGATGTGAGAAAACTAAATGAAGTTGGGCTACCCAAGAAGACGCCTGTATAAAGGCTGTATTATAAATGTGAGGCAAGCTCCCCTATCTGTTACCAGGACATGCATTCACAATACATACATCATCGTCCCATGCTAATCTTAAGTCCATCATTACTTATGTTCATCGATCGTCGTCTCATGATAATCAGTGAACGGACACAGCAAATTACCCGTAATTAAATTACAGCTGTATATTAGGTTATCAAGCATCATGCAGGAGCGAGCGGTCGATAACTCTCCAACGCACAGCTGTGAACTTCAAATAAAATCAATAAATTATTAACAACTGGAAACCTGTATGTAAACTTATACACGTTTCCTAGAACTAGAACCTTTCTCTATTGTTTCACCAATCTTACAATTGCAACCTTTAATTTAACTAAAATTTCTATATTAGCCTGCATGGTACCAGAGGTTGGGAGCAGTGTTTTAATGAATGAGGGGAAAGAGCGGTCCGGTGAGCAGAAATATTCGCTGCTCACTGAATCTGGGGCCGTATTATCAAAACTTCGTAAGTACGCACAATCGACTTCCGAGTGGCGTTGCTATATGACAACGTAATACTAGCGGTGGTATTATAAAAACATTTGCGCGGGAAAAATTTGCGCGGGAAAAAATTTAGGCTTTTAGCTAAGACTTGCGTACGAAAGTTTTGATAATGCCAAAATTAGGGTGTATTTACGTACCACAGAACTTTTTTGTTGTAAGTACGAAAAGTTACGAAGTTTTGATAATCCGGCCCCTGGACCGCAGACGCGTCAGCAGCGCGACGCGGGCATCGTGGCCCACGGGCGCCATTGGGTGGCGCGGGCCACGGGCTCGTCGTTACCCACAAGAGGCCCAACGGTTGCCACCAATCATAGCTGACTAATTTGGGTTCAGTCGAGTGATAGCTTCGTCTCCGCGTAAGACGCTATATACCTAACATGACGCGATTATGTCCATGATCTTTCGATTACGTCCAAAATCTTATGATTTTGTTATGTTTCGATTTATGTTCATTATTTTGTGCTTCTCTGATGTTCATACACTTATTGAATCGAATAAAATTTTCTTATGAGCGTTTTGATGAGAAGTGAGATGCCCCCATACAAATAGCATGACATGTCTGCTAATGGCCTCATGCAAGAAAAGTAGTCACCACGCAAATTTGCATTCAAGGATATAAATTTTAAAAATTATGCACTTCGGTTAACTTTTAGTTCGAGCCAGGAACGAAGGAGACTCTGTAAACCGAAGCTTAATAGGGACCTATTTCCTGTTCATGTTTTGGTTAATAATTTTTAGCACGTAATAATTTTTAGCACTATATATGTTGGAATCCCTGCATATATATGGAATCTCCTCGCAGATCCATTAACAAAATAAAATGTATACGGTGACGCAAAATACAGCGATTTATTACCAAATCTTTCACTCAAGATCAATTTGCGTAAATCGCAATGTAGAAATCATTTAAAAGTTAGTTTCGCTTGATTTTAGAAGTTGCGAGATTCACGTGCAGAAGCATGGTTAAATTTGCCGCTATATCGCACCGCATTTGTATACACTGTCTCCGAAATGGCCAACAAACAACGAGTTAAATCAGCCAGTCGAAAAAAAAAAAACAATTCATCTCCGACAAACTGAACGCGCGACCGATGAATGGCGGCGATCGAGACAAATGCGCCTGTCGACCGCAAGCGGAAAAACACGCATACAAAAAAACTCCGTCTCCCTGGGGCCTTCTATAACTCCATCACTGCCCTTCCAACCTCCCTCGCCTTCCCCCATCTTGAACCCAACCCTGAACTAAACCCTCCCTCCCCCCGGGGTTTGACTTAAAGTAACCAAAGGAAAATCCGTCACCCGCGGACGCCTCAGCGGAGGTCATTAGTTACGCCAAAACAAACAGCGCGGCACGAGCCGTGCGCCGCGGTGCGCTTAGCCTCCATACTTTCGAACTATTTGTTCAACTGTCAAGGTGTTCTTTACGAACGATGTTGAATAAATTAGTCATAGCTAACTATTGCCACGAGAGGAAAATATTGCAAACAGTCGTCAGTTGAGAGGCTCAAGTTTGAAAATGTTTTGTGATGTGCCACGCAGCAGAAAAGCTGACTTTACTATACAATTAACTTCGAAATCTCACACAAAAAGCAATTTTTTAACTTTTAATTCTTATGAATACTGTGAACGTTTACGGTACTTGGTCCCTTAAAATTAAACGATTTAGTATTAATTCAATATTTTTCTCAATATCCTTAAGTGATCAAATAATAATTTCAATGTTTTATCCAATATCCTTTAATTAAGTATGGAATATTAATTAAATATGCTGGCACCCACCTGAGGCTGCTGAAGGGTCGCGTCTTGAGCAGCAGAGTGTCGCAGTGCGGGCAGTGGCGATGCTCCTTCAGGAACGACACGATGCACGACCGGCAAACTGATCACCACACAATACATCCTTAATACATCATACAATAGCTATAAATTGTACTAATACAATATGGAGCTCCTATATAGTGTATTGTCCCCAGGATATCATTAGAAAATACATCGTGAATTCTTGGGTTAAATAATGACAAGATGGATGAAAAATGGCAGCAACCTTCAACAGCGGTGCTGGCGTATTGCAAATACTGTGTTGTATATATACAAAAAAGCCTTCTCGCAGATTAATCAGTAGCAGTAAATTGGTTAATTGAATCGATCACATACCATGATAAAATATTTCCATTTGCTCTCAAATAACCCAAAAGAAAGGCTAAATATGAAAAATCATCATGATCTAAAATTGTAAAATCTGTCAACTAAATCCAGGCATGAGATTTCCAATATTAAATGTGACCATAATTAACGACGTGATGCAATTAACACATGGCCGGATATGTTGCCATGATGAACTAAAAATTAAGACTTGTGGCGACTTTAACGTGGTCATCAGTATATACTGCATATGTAGCGCATATGTTGTGATACGTTGAACATGCATGTCCTTGCAGCAATGGTGTTAACGAACTTTGCTCATGAATGTATGGAAGAAGATGAATATTAACTAAATTATTCCTAGTCTTTTGTAAAAAAAAGAATCGTGATAGAAATCCACTCATGTATGAGTCGAATAAGATGAATATGAAATGTATGCGCGCTACTCACATGTATGGAGGCACTCCGTGATGGTTGTGGCGTCCACGAAGTACCCGAAGCAAAGCACGCACACGAAATGGGGGTTTAGGTCCCCCAGGCTGATGTTAACCCCAGCTGAGCCCTTGCTGGGCTTGGGGGGCTGGGGGGCTTGGGATGAGGGGTTGGCAAACAGCCCCACGCCTTCCCCCCAGTCCTGGGAGATGGGGGACCCAAGCCTCCCCCACGTGTCCGTGTCTGCCCCCGTCATGTTTAAGACGGACCTGAGTAGGAAGGGGGTTAAAAAATATTTATTTAAATATAATTCATATATAAATTCATAAATATAAATTCAGATTCATTTATAATATATATGAAAAAAATGAAAACAACCAATTGTGGACACGATGACGCATGTGGAAGGTTAAAGTAATTAAATTAATTAATTATTATGGGTCTTCTGGGGTGGGGGGGGCTTGTGGGTGCTGGTGTTGTAGGTGCAAGAAAAAATGTAGAAATGTAAAGAAAAACTGTAAGAAATGTTGTGCGTAAACTGCAAATGCTTACTTGCTAAAGTTCAATAATAAAGATATACAATTCGCAGAGGCTAGAGATCGAGGATGGGCTATATATATAGAAACTGGTTGCTGTTGTAGTAAAAAATGGGGGGCCACCCCCGGGTTTTACCCCGCGTCTTTCGCGTATTGATACTTGTATCTTACAACTTTATACTCACAACCCAGGAAATCGCGGAATGGGGGGTAAAATGTTACTTTTTCGGTCATAACTCGGCAACGCCTAGTGGGATGTAAGATGGTTTAGTTTATTGTAGTTTATGGTAGTTTATTGATATTGATATTAAAATGTAGGGGGCACTGGGATATTCTGGTTTATCTGTTGCTGGGTATCGAATCGGCGCTAAAATTGGGGCCTACTGATATTAGAAGCCATCTTAAACCGAAATTTTGTTATCGACTATGAATTGTTTCTTAACTTGGGGTATCGAAGGAATGGGCTATGTTGTATATACAAAACAATCGGAATGCCGCGAAACCTCCAGCAACCAGCGAGGCCCGAAAACCGCTCATTATTCGTCCTGACGTAGGAAGGCGGCTTGTTTACGACTTAAATAACATTAATGGTCGTCGCTCGTCTTTTGTTCAGGAGTCACAAACGCGTGACGATGGCAGGACAATGACAGTTTCGTCCAGCTTCGTCACCGAGCGCTTCTTGATTAAAATCAATATTACTTTAGTTCGCATATGAGTGCAGGAAAATGTGCGCTGTAATTTGAAATTAAGCTCTTGTTTCAAGTCGTCCGTCAAGTTGTCTATTCCAATTTGCTGGGTATCAGCTCCCAGATATGCTCCCGATCGGCAGATTTTTTACTTCTTGAAAAAACTTGCTCGACCAAATGGCTAATTTTAAATTAATTTCAGCTTCAGGGCTTCAGAAATAAATAATTCAACACTTGGGCTTGAGTTTAGTTGAGTTACAATTAGTTGAGTCAATGGCTGCCTCACAATACGCGCGCTGCGTGGACACATATGGACAATAATAATTAACATGTCAGTTAATGAAGGCTCGTCACTAATAATGGAGTATGCCAATGGACATGGCCAATAAATGAAGGCTCGTCACTATAATTCTTCCTTTAATATTATTCCCCTGTCCAAGCCTCACTATATCGCGCTTGTTGAATGTGACAAATCTACATACCCTCAAATTAATGAATTAGTATTGATGCAATATTACTCGAGTCATACACATTAAAACATTCATCAATGTATTAAAATGGTACATTGATTTACTTGCCGGCTATTGTTTAGCAGGCGAAACTTGAGAAAAAGGGTCGTGCATTGAAACTGTCGAGTGGCGCTATATGTGCGCAGCGATGGATTCATACATTAACTAATACACTAAAAACTTCTGAGTGTTGACTGATTATATTACGACTTAATTATTCAACAGCTGTAATTAATTCACATGTTCGTCCAAAAATTTTGTTCACTCCATTTTTTCGGTCAAAAAGTAAAATATTCATCGTTTCTTTATACATAAGTGACATTACCTGTTGAGTTATTCAAAATTATTCATTGTTAAATTAATCGAAGTTCAACACGACCACCATGCACGATGGCCACTATATAAGATGGAGATTGCTTATCATGATATCCAAAAGTTAACATGTTGACTTTATCCCTTGTTAGCGAAGGCCGGTATATTTTATTGAGGAGATATAATTCTTAAATTCACGCAGCGCCTGCGTGCATACACGCGACTCATGAATGATCGAGTCCGTGTATGATCGTGGATGAATGTTTCCCTTCAATGTATCACATAAATAGCTGAGAAGTAGTGAATATATATAACTGTTGCGTCTTAGAATATTTCACTAAATGAACCGGAACAACGCATGCAGGACGTGACGAGAAAATGTCAAAAGAATGATATTAATAATGAAACAAAAAGGTTTAAATGAAGTCATGCAACGAGGACAATAAATATGTAGCGTTCATGTCCAGAATATCGATCGTGAAAGACAGAAAGATACCGAACGACACAAGTCGCAAATATATATGAGGCATATAATACGAAATATTTCATTGCGATTTGTGACAAAACGACATATTTTGAACGCGGTTAAATAAAACGCAGTTAAATAAAATTTTGCCAATTTGGGCCACCATTACAATTCGGCTGAAAACATTAATTGGCAGACGTGGTTAATTATAAGTATAATTGGCAGAGCAAATTTGCTGCTAATAACCCTCTATATATGTCCATACATATATACTCAGCTGCACATATGTGTCGCCTTTAAATATGGCGTATTTTTTTATGTATGAAGCTCATACTCGCCCAATTGGACATGTATATCGCCTTCAAGTTTAAGCTGTGCTGGAACACACATGGAATTATTTATCGCCGGAATGACCACATATGGAGTTAAATTTATTGCCGGCTATTTTTTTCAGTGATGGCGGTATATGGATGCAATGCGATGTTTCGTAATAGCAAGATAATTGATCTTTAAAGGGTTAAGCCTTCCTCAAATAACTTAAAATGCTTGTAACACTTAATATTATCGCATACCGTAAGATTATAATGATAGTATCATCATCGGTGACACTTCTGTGCCCATATGTTGCTTAAACTGAACTTTGAAAACTGTCATGATTTTCATAAATAATCCAGATAAACCTTCAGAAAAAGAAGCAAGTACGCAGCGCATATAAAAAAAGATGTTATCGGAACCTACACGAAAACCTCGAAGTCAATCATTGCGCAAAATTAATAAAATAAAAAAATATAATGCTAAATATATAGTTTATGATGCCAAAATAGTCTTAGAATATTCCGAACAAAGAAAAAAATTGCGATGAATGAGCGTAAGCTTAGAATTGAAGAGGTTGAAGGTGAGGGGGAGGGGGAGGGGTTCATTGAAATTTCGAGTGGTGGGTGGGAGGTGAGGGGAGGGAGGCTCGTCCCAAGCCAGTATGGCGGACGAAGCTCGCGTCGCGGCCGCCATACTGGCTTGGGACGAGACAAGTGATGGCAGCGTCGCTGGTGCGGAACAAAATTAAAACTGAATTTCTAAAACAGGAAAATTATCTATTAAACTAAAAATATTATACATGACCCAATTATTAAAGATTAAAATAGAAAAAAGTCCACAAACTGTAGTATTGAGACCGAAACTTCATAAGCGTACCTTCATAAAAAAGTGGCAGTTAGATTTAAAATTACATTCGACGTAAAAGTTTCGAGATATACACGTACTGCATGATTACACGCAACATATCCTGCGTATACTCACGCAGACCAGCACATGCAATGCTGTGCATGCGGCAGTGAGCTCAAGCGACCATCGTTTCGATCGTACACGCTGGAAATTAACGGGTACTATTGTCCGAAAAACGACACACAAACTAGCAGAATAATATTAATAGCCCCCGATACGACCTTATACGCATGTTCCAAACTGTGTCAGGATGACCCAGACAAAAGAAAAGGACAAAGGCTATGAATGACCGATAGCTATTCGGACAAAGGTTCATTCATTTCTCTGTGCAAGGCTTAAGAAGTTTAGGTATAGGACTAACTATGTATTCCTCCACGCAGGCATATATAAGCTATAATATACCTGCATATATAAGAAGAAACGTTACCTGCCTATTAGTGCCAAATATCAAACGGTTCTGGACGAATATAACTCCAGAAATTTTATTGTCGCACTGAAGTTTGAGAGCCGCTGCGCTGCACATGCAGCCAGTCTGCTATGCCTATGCATATGCACAGCACTAATATAATATGTTATAATATAATATGTTGACAAAGAATGTCTATGTGCATGGAAACTCACGTCACGCATCGTCCCATGGGCAGCTTATATAGGAACTTCAGTCATACAGTATAACTGTCACACGCATTCCATGCGTGCATGAACGTACGCGTAAACGCTGCTGTACGCTGCAGGGGCGAACTTGAATCCTTGTGTGCACACGAACACACACACACACGCACGCTGTTGCGTACATGTGCGCACACAGCGGTGCGTGCGCTTGTTGCTGAGATACGCACGGCGGAAGCGTGCGGCGACCAGACGACTTTTGCGTAACCCTGCGAGGGCGACGGCCGAGGAATGCGTCACGACACGCACGCAATACGTGCGTACGTACGCACTCAGGACGTGCGTATATGCGTTACATACCAGTACCAAGATGCATGCTTTATATGCGTATTATACGGCACAGAGCACTGGCGTATATAAGAATGATCTCTAGTTGTATACGATGGGCGTAATTAAGTTGATTACGCACAACTGGAAGATACGAAAATCTTGTCTTAAATAATTTCTATTTGTGCTGCGCATGATTTGGTCATACGCCGCATTATTTGACAGTCACATGCTATTTCCAGCATAATTTAATTACAAATATTTCATTTGTTGATTTATTATTAAAACGATTCGCTTGTTTAATAAAACGCTTCAATGCTCTAAGATGTGATGTGCTAACGATGGCAACTTTGTTTGTATTTTGATCAAACCCCGATTATTAATAAGAAATAAGAATAAGAAAAATAAGAAGCCGATTTTCAATAGTTAAAGCAATTAATTGATTCAGACTTAACTATATATAGCAACAAAAATAACTGATCTGTGCATGCATTACCACTGCGCGCGATCTCATATGCATGCATGAAAACAGGTGCACACATGTTCTGACAAAGCGTGCTATATGCGCAAGTCATGCATGATTGTGATGGAAAGTTCTGCGCACGTCAAGTTCTGGCACGGCAGAACAGAAGTCCTGCACGGCGTTGTCCAGATGCTGCACGTTATCTGTTCGTGCGTGTCATTAAGAATTGATAGTCGAGTGCGCTTGAAATTTTGCGCTTAAGTTTTGTATTTTCCGGCACTGAAAAAATATTAAATAAACTTCAGTGATTATAATATATGTATGAGTGGAAAGTACGATTGAAAAGAAGCTATAATGTACAAGGCAATCAATAGCTGAATTTTAAATTACGCGGCCATGCATTTTTTGTTACGTCTATATTTATTGATAGAAATTCTTCAGGTATCGCATCGAAAAAATGTTGAATTATAGTTAGTGCAAATTTTCAGAGTGTCTATATAATTATACTTCTGCGGAGCATGCACATCCGCGAATGTACGAAAACATTTCGTATATACGTGGTCAGTTTTGATGTTTTCATTTTATAAATTACTGCTTCAACTGAAAAAATGGTTGTTAGACTATAAGATCTCAAATTGATTATTTATTTAAACCACACACAAATATGCAGTCGCCCCAATATAAGATGAATATAATATCATATATAATACCAATCCAAGATGATATATAACAATTAAGATACTCATCAAACATTAATATATAACAAGCTGTCTTTAATTGTGATAGCAAGTCTTGAAATGAGAAATTCTTCCGATTTACTAGTAAGTTCACGACTTTTCACCTAAATTTTTATTATATTTTATTCAAATAAATAATCGAAGATTTCGTCGAATCTACAAACTGTATAATGTTAGAAACGCAAGTCATGTTCATTACATAAACGTTAAAAACTACTATGTATAATTTATGAAGTCAGGCACAAACGATGGAAGGTTAAAATGGCTCTCTAATATCTTATAATATACATGCAGCTATACAGTGCACAGTCAGGATGTTGCCACAACAAAACATTAAGGACACATTCATTGGCGCAAGCCTCACACTGAGCGTATATATAGAGCCGCTGCTCAGCCTCACCTGTCAATGTCAGTGGCGGCTCAGCGGCAGGAGGTCGAGCAGTGCAGGAGGAAGCTGCTGCGCAAACGATATCAAAACATTTCGTCTAGCACATGATTTTCCTAGATTATTCGTTAATAAAAACACAAAATTGCATCTAATGAAACAATTTAAGCACCTCGAAACAAACCAAGTATGACGAAATAATGTAATTACTTTATTTGACAATTGCGAAACATTCACTGTAACCTTCTGCTAACTTGCACTAGTTCAGATTGCTAGTATTCGCGTATATTAAGGGGCATATAAAACACTGCTAGGAAAATAACACTGGCTGCGAAAAAGATTTTAGTTGATTAAATCATTTCAGTACTGACATTTGGTTGGTCAACAAGTTAAGTAACATTAAACAACAAAGTAACACGTTAAGACACTCGAAACACGTTACAGTTTTTAAAAAACAAATAACACTTTTCACACTTAATAAATTTACAGTTTATTATTGTACAATCTACAAGAACATATGATCCAATCTTATTCACTCCACGCGAAAAAGTGATAAAATCTTGTACAATCCAAGTGCAGGGGTAATCCAGTCTTGTATAGGCCACGAGGAAAGGTAATCCAATCTTGTACAATCCAAGTGTGGGGTAATCCAATCTTGTACAATCCGCGAGTAGGTAATCCAATCTTGTACAATCCACGAATGAAGGAAATCCTAACTAGTGAAGCCACAGACATAACCATGTAATGCCGCAACACAGCACAATAATATCAAGGGCCCAGCAAAAGACCGAAGCCGGCGCAATTAATGAGACGCGCACGAGATGGAATAGGAAAGGCTGTTTGTGAGGCTCAACCGAGCCCGGCGCAGAGCACAACCAGCCTCGTCTAGCCTGGCACCACCGAACCTCCGCACAGCTTTAAGGGAGAGCCTTGGCTCTTACAAAGCGCCTCTACACAACACATCAATAAAACTCACTTGTTTCGCTCCACTGACACGATACATCTATGCGGAAACACTTCAAATTATACCAAACATAATTACTAGTGTTGCGAGAAAAACAACAAGCACCATGGATGATTTTCACGCAAAAAAGAATATGACTTCGCAAGAGCAACACACCCATACACCCTCACTCGGCGCCGGCACAGCGCGCTGTGGCTGTGCCAGCGGAGGCCCAGCGCAAGGCGAGGTGCGCGAAGGCGCAGGCGAGGCGGAGTCTCGTCTGCTCAGAGGAGGGCCGAGCCCAGAGCCGGGCGGGGCCGCGCGCTCAGCTACGGCCTCGGCTCTGGCCTCGGGCGCTATATATACACACGATCAATAGCCGCGCATCAATATCCGCCCGCTGCTTCTCTAAATCCATTGAATTGCCGGACCTGTAACTCGCGATCGGCAGTTTCTTCAACAAATCAGGGATCGGTCTTTTCTTGTAGGGCTAAGTCGTTCGCCGAGCTCGCGACAGGAAAAGCGTCTGGTGTTGTTAGGCCTGCAGACACGGGGTGTATGTGGCAGTAGTTTGGACCTGTGAGTGTTAGAAATTCTATACATGCTGATGCATGGGCTGATATATAATCTAACAAAAATTATAATTACGTTTTACCTTTGATTGTCTTTATTGTATTCTGGTCTGAAAAATTTTACTCAATTTGATAAAAATCTGACTGACAAAGCCAACAACAATTAAATTTTTTATTTCATACGTCACCGGTGAAATCACAAAAAATAACCGCACGCGAAGTATCAGATTTTCTCGATAATAATGGGATATCAAAATTATTCATGTACAACTATCAGTTAGATAACTATAATGGATTCATCAACCTCATGAATAGTAAAAGCAAGGAGGACAAAGCGATAAGATCACACAGCCGCTGTGCATTTGCATATTGAAATGACGTGGCATCCATGCATGGAACTCACGATTATATTGCTCCGTGCAACAATTAACATGTCATTAACATATCATATTGAGTGAAGAACAACGATCGTGTACGTATAGTGCGATGTAAGAAATATTGTTCATTGAAGAACATCACAAATAGCATGATATATTGAATAAATGAAGAACATCACATATTGTGCGATGTTCGGAATCTGTAATTGAGGTACAATATTGAGCGTCGTACAATTAATAAATAACCTTTTTGTAATCCTAGTCAATCATTAGGACAGAAGATGGCAAAAATACGCTATGCGCTAAACTGAGTACCTTCGTTAACGTGCGCCAACGAAGAACGATCACGAAGCGTTCAAAATGTCTTAATTATGCGCAACGATTGGATATAGCGACATAGACATGCATTAATTCCTGATGTCCTGTTATTGTTATATAGGAAGTTTCTGATTTACTCATAATATTAATTCAGCACGTAAGTAATCATGCGAACTCGAATAGCCGAAACTCAAGTAGAGAAAAATATTAAAATATGAAAAATTATAAATAAGGTGTTTAAGCATCAAGAAACAATCTTCGTCAGCTTGTACGACAAAGAGGCGCGCTCATTATACGTCTGAGGCCAGCGAGGCCACAATTCATTACTCACAAAGCCGCAAAAAATCTCTTGCAAAAAATCTCGTTAATTTAGAGAGATCTTGAGCCAGCCAAGGTTAGACTCGTCCCAAGCTACAAACACCGGAGTGCCTGCGAGGCTCGTCCCAAGCTGCACACATCGGGGTGCCTGCGAGGCTCGTCCCAAGCCACTTCATGACCGCCACGCTTAAAATCTGCGGACAGAGCGCGCCAACTTTTGGATTTTTCAAACTTTACATTTGTAGACATGTATAAAAATAGTACGACTGGGTATTAGCGCATGTCTGTGCTACTGTTTACATATTTTAAGGTTTATGGCGCACATATTGTTGAAAAATAACCATGTCCCCTGTCCTAACCAATTAATTTTGGAGGCAATTAGTAATAAATTGATCAGGCTGCAATTCAATTTTAAGTCTCGCTGCGCGGTGCGACCCTTAATTAGAGAATCCTGTTGTTTTGTTTTAAAAAGTAGCAGAAACATCCGACAACCAACATCGGGTTGAGTGTTTACGTGTCACGTGTGCAAGGCCGCCAATATACGGAAAATATTACGATACGTGTTCACGATTTCATAAATCAACGTATAGACTAAACATCTTCATGTATGGAATTTATTGTGTGGAAGCATGCGTTTTTTCGCGAATTTGAGGCGAGGAAGGTTGGACTATATAACGGGTGGCGTTGCGAATAAAAGTGCATGCATGGCGAGTTGGCGACTGATGTGGCGGCTAAAGTGGCGTCTGACGTGGCGGCTGGCGAGTTGGCTGACGAGGCGACTGAAGTTGCGTCTGGCGAGGCGGCTGACTATAGAGATGGCTGACGTGGCGGCTGACGTGAGGACTGACTATGTGGCTGACGTGGCTGCCGAGGAAGTAATTAACTGACGTGGCGGCGACCACGAGTGGAGGGCAAATAAACAAACGGCGGGACGACCTTCATCAGTGATATGGAGGAGACAAACTAAGTAAATAATTTTATTCGTCGGGCAATGCACTTGAAAACGACTGCACTATAATAGCGGGAAATTTAATGTGCTCTTCAAATGGCGTGTTGTAACAGACGCATGCGTGCTGTTTGCCTGTTTCATTGCTGCATGTATACTTCAAATTGATAAACCACTACCGTCGACAAGAGCATCGCTATAGCCAACAAATTTATTAAAGTTCATTTAAGTTTTCTTAATTAACCTAATAATTAAAGATGAGAATAATTATACTCAAATTCAATCAAGTCTTTAAGACCTGTTGAGATTTAAATCCATATTTAATATACATAACATGATCGAGACAGCATCCTCAGCGGTAAGCGATCCTGGCCGCCATGACAGGCGAGGTTGCGGCGCGCGCCGCTGAGGGCGCCACTGCGCGGCCACCGCAGCAGACGATTGCGCTCGCTCGGATCTCTGTAATTTTATTGAAAAAATTTCACGTATATTCTATCAAAATTAAATAACCACGGATAATTATTAGTGAAAATAATGAGCCATGAATACAAAATTCAATTAGATACCTTTTCGTAGTAGAATTAACTACTTAAATGAGAATATCAAATGCAGGTGGAATGAAGTACAGAAGCCACACATATTCTGTTGTTTGTATCCTTTTCATTTCACTTATATTCTTCCCGAGTGAACGAAATGCTATTTGAAAATCGTAGTTCCAGTTCTCCTCAAGTTTAAAACATTTGAATCTTTTAATTAAAATACCGCGCCTCAACCTAACCAGCTCCCCTGTTTCAGGTTCAATTTTGCTGGTTACAATTTTTGCAACTTTTTAAGCAATTTCCCAGCTTTCATTTGATGAAAAATAACCTGAGCATGAACTTGAGACCGTCTTAACATAACCTCAACATGTTTGGCAATAAATGCATCATTAGTGTCCAACAACTATATTTGAAATGACACACTATAAGCTAAAAATTCATAAATTTTCTCCCAGAATATAGTTGAAATTTGAATCTATAGCTTGGTTATTAAGCTATTTTACCCGATAATTGCACTGAAAATTTCTTACTGCTTCTCTCAAGAAAACACAAAAAAATTATTCGTAGTGACTGCATGGCGTGGCGACTAAAGTGGTGACTGACGTGGAATTACTCGTGGTGACTGACGTGTCGGCCAAAGTGATGACTGACGTGGTGACTGACATGGCGGCTAAAGTGGCGTCTGACGTGGAATTACTCGTGGTGACTGACGTGTCGGCTAAAGTGATGACTGACGCGGTGACTGACGTGGCGGCTAAAGTGGCGTCTGACGTGGAATTACTCGTGGTGACTAACGTGTCGGCTAAAGTGATGACTGACGTGGCGGCTAAACCTAAATAAAAATGAGGGGTGGAGCACCGATGATTATAGGTGGTGATAGTAGATTGTAGGTGGCATAACGGTGGGTGGCCAGATCTGCCGAAAATCGACAATAAAACACCAATAAATCGAAAGGGTGGCGAGTATAGGTAGGAGTCATAGATGAATCATCTATGATTTATAGGGTCTGAAACATCGATCTATGGCTCATTGCAGACAAATCTCTTGTGAGCCACCGATAACCGTTTGCCCAAACTGCACAGTGCACGAAGGTATTTGCCACTGTAATTTATCACGTAGAAAGGTGTTTTTGGGTCGCAGGTCATTCGAGATTAAGACGAAACCTTGACTTGTGCTTGGCGTTCTGACGTTCGTTCGGCGTTCTGAGACGAAACGTTCTGTGTGCTTAGCATTTAAGATTAAATTCTGTTAAGAAAATTTAGCGAAAATTTAGCGTGAATTCAGTAGGTACGAGCAAAACTGACAGATAGAAGCAAGGTGTTCACAA